CAGTGTGATCATTTCTCCAGGCTGTGGCTGGAGGCAGGCCTTCCTTTGCAGCTCTGGGCCGAGAATCGCATGGCATGCCTACCCTCAGCGGGACCTAATGCTGTCCCTGAGCCATGGTGATGGTGATAGTGGTGCTGATGTACTGGTGATCGTGCTCACAGCAGCTGCAACAGCAAACACCTGCTCTTATACTCTCATAGGAACTGGCCTTGGAGGTTCTCTAAGGCCATCTCCTACAGTTTTCAGTGATAATGACAGAAACAGTCTATATCTGAGCCATCAGCCACCTCGAGGCGCTGGGCACTTAAAATGTGGCTAGTGCAACTAAGAAGCTAAATCTTAATTAATTAAATCAATTAATATAAATAGTCCCACATGTCTAATGGATCTTGTCTTGGACAGCAATTACTTTCTATGCATATTGTCCCTGAGTCCTCATTACAAGCCAATAAAGTGCTAGCACTCCCATTTTGTACACAAAGAAATTGAGGCTTAATGGGGCTAAGTCATTTGTATGAAAAGACTCAGCTGGATTTTAGCCCAGGTCTGTCTGGCCTCCAAATCCATGCCTTTAACTGCATTATCCTGCCTGGTGACCCCATCTGCTTTAGATAGAGGCAGGGCCAGAACAGGGACACACACTTTCTCCAGACCTGTGGTTGTGAGTGATGCCATATCAATTAGCTCTTCCTTCCCCACTGGCTGGTTGTTGGGATGACAGTAGATCCATATACAGTGGCTCATGTACCCACAGGAATTCCCCCTCCCCAAACCCACCAACCGAGTCTTGGTCACAGGGCAGCCTGCTTATAACTGATGGTGGCCGCATCTCTCTGTTTGTTCAGATTCCACTAGAATGTACTGTGGCCAGGGCTATGTGGAATGTCTTCCTTGGCTGATGACAGTGTGTTTTCACACTTTGCTATGGGAAAGCTGTCAGGGAGCTCAGTCCCTGAGGAGTGATTTGGACAGGTGAGAAACTTCAAACTAGTTGCCTCTGGTTGCCGACATGAGAACTCTTACAACTTGTCACCTGGGTGGCTTCCTCTGACTGTTTTCCTTTGTTTGACGACTTCTACAGGCAGTAGACAAACAGTATGAGGAATCTGCCTCAGGGAGAATTGGTGCCCCAGCCTCATCACACTTCTATAGCCTTACTGTCTTGGCACATTCTCCTCCCATCTGTTTTCTGATATGGCTGGGACCAAGTGGAGACTTAGTAAAGGGAGACAAAAATGTGCAGATGGACAATCCAGGGCTCATCTGAAGCATAAATGTTTTTCACTATCTTTGGCCATGTATTTGTTATTTGTTTCAACTTTTTTTTTTTTTTTGTATCGGGGATTGAACTCAGGACCTTGTGCTTGCGAGGCAGGTGTGGCACCACTGAGCTAAATTGTTGTTCCCCCACACAGTGCCATTTTAGGTTTTCTGGGAACCTAAAGATTATTCTCCTGGAAGAGATTCTAAGGATGGTAGTATTTTAGAAAGAGCGCTCTCTTTCAAGGCTGTGATCTTGGGCTCACTATAGGTTCTTTATCAGGTCATGACAGATGGGGCTGTACCTCAAGGTATGTCATTTTTATTGACCAGAATGTTGTGTGTGTCAGCTTCCCAAAGCTTGGGTGGTTCTTAAGAGCAGGGACAGAATGTTCTGGCTTCCCCTGCAGACTCAGAGTTTCTGGTCTAGTGGGAATTAATTAGAACATTCTTCTAGTTACTGTAAATACAAGAAGGTATAGGTGTGGTTCTATCTTCCTGAGCTTATGAGCCAGCAAGGGAGTGGGGTGGATGGAGCCCTGGACCAGGGCTAAGGGCTTGACTTGTTGGATTGTGTAGTCTTAGAGTGCTAAGCAGGTGGGATGGCATGTCATTATCTGTCCCCTCCACCCCATGTTTAGAGCTGAAGGGGCCTTCAGATCATCCTGTCTTGGGGCTGAATACTTGCTCCTCTTAGGGGAAAGTATTCTCTCATTGGGCATCTGAAGGGAGCCAAGTGGGCTAGGCTAGGGAGGGCAGCAGTGGCAGCAGGTGCTGGGGACCAGCATTCTGCTATGATATTGGAGTGATATTGGACTGGGGAGAGATGGGGACCAGAGAACTGGAAGGGACAAGCCTGTCTGTGGTGGTGGTGGGCACACCTGGGTCCCAGCCAGTGCTGCCATTCTTCTGCTTATTCTGCAGGGACATGTAGGACCTGACTTCTAAGATGCTGACCACTAATTAAAGCCACCAAAGTACAATATGGAGCATCACTTACTGCTACATAAAACATGTCTGTGGGCTAAACACTGTCACTGGGCTACCAAGATTCAGCGGGGGAACTGAGGTAAAGAGATGCTAATTATTTTCATTGGCACAGGTTCTTCAGATGGTCAGCTTTTCCAGGTAGCCAGGATGTCTTGCCTGTTTCTCGTTCTATGCACTTGGCCCACATGAAGGACTTGTTATAAGCCTGCGGTCAGGGGACTTAGCTTGGGAATAACCCTGATCTTTCTCTGCAGGAAGGTTTATCTGTGGGGGGAAGATGCCAACATCTTTCTCAGGAAAAATGAGCTTAGTGATCTGAGGTGAATTTTGAGAACTGAGGCAGGGTACCCTCTGGACAGTAGCTGAGAGTGTGGGTTTTGGGGCTAGAATGATTGGACCAAATCTCACCTCTGCCATCTTCTAGTTCTGGGACTCTGAGCAAGCTGCTTACTTTCTTTGAGCTTCAATTTTCTCACTACTACAATGAGGGCGATAGTCCCTAGTGGAAAGGGAAGTAATAAGGATTTCATGAGAGACTGTATGCGGAGTGCTGAGTACCATGTCTGGCATAAGCTATGGCTTTTATTGAGAGTTTACTATTGTTACTAACAGGAATAGTTATCATGTGACTGGGGAGAGAGATGGCTGATCATCCTGATTCCTAGGATGTCATGGTACGTGACTTTGATGGACAATTATCTTCCTTGGGCTATAAGCAGGGCTTAGGACCCAGACTTGGGAGAATAGAAGAGCATCACCCACTCCCAGCCTCAGAAGCTTCTGGTGGCCAGTGGGGTTTCAGCCACAGGTACAGTCATTGCCTGGCTGTCTGTTGGCCAAGACTCCAGGCTTCGGGCCCTCTGGACGTTTACACTAGCACCTGATCTGGTGGGAAGAAAACCCAAGGGAGATCTTCCAACACATAGCCTAGTGCACAGGGAGGCCCATGCCGGACTCTCAGCTCCCTGCTGGCAGGGAGAGGGCCTTCTGTCTGCTGTCCAGAGAGGCTTTCAGCTATGTGGGCTGAGAGGCCAAACTCCCCTTCAGGGCTAGTGTTTTTCCACAATGACCTGCGTACTAATAAAAACAATTCCATTAGTCCCCCAGAGGCCTCTAATGTGCATTTTAATAAGAATGAAAATCATGGATAATGACAATATTGTGCTTTGTGTTACTGGGCCGAGAGGGCTCTCATTTGGGGAAGTTCTTAGTGCTGCAGACATTCCCATGAGGAAGGTGGCCAGCTAGGCTCAAAGGCACCAAGTTGCCTCTCAGGAGCAGGAAAGCCATCCCACCATTGCTGACCACAGCAGGCTGTCCTGGTCCCTCCTGGGCTAGTGCATCTAACACCCTTAGGCCTCATGCCTAAGAACTCAGCTTCAGGAGCCAGAGAGTCTAAGCTCTGCTATGTGACCTGGTCACAACACAACCTCTCTGTGCCTAACTCTTGAGGTCATTATGAGGATTAAATGAGTTAACACACAAATTGTGCATCAAATAGTGCCTGGCAGGAAGCAAAAGTTCCATAAATATTAGTTTTTATTAACAGTTAGTATTATTTGTGGTATTACTAGGTTAGGCCATACAAAATTGCTGACTTTTGACCTATAAAATGGCAATTTCACATAATCACTGCTTCTTAACTGGGGAGTGATAGTTTTAATTGTTACAACTGAAGAGATGGTGATACTGGCATCTAGTGGGTAGAAGACAGCTACCATCCTTCACTGCAAAGATCAGCCCCCAAACAAAGAGCCCTCTAGCTCCAAATATCCACAGTGCCAAGGCTGAGGATGGATCTCGCATTCAGCTATGCATAGATGATCTTAAAACATCCCTTTCTGAAACATATGTGGCTCCCACTGCTGGGAGGATAAAAGCTTACTTCCGACAGGCTCTGGCCTCCAACCTCATCTCCTTCTGTCTCTCTGTTGTAGCCACCAGACCTGTAATGGCCACCCCTCCCCACCCCAGCACTCCAAGTCTGGAACAAGTTCTCTGCTTGCCACACTTACCAAACCTGTTACCTGCTCAGGGAAGCTTTCCTTAAGTGTCTTTTCCCCCAGCTTGGCTGACCATGGCTATCACTGGTAGCTTTTAACCAACACGATTTCCAGTCCTACTCCTAGAGATTCTGACTCAGTAAGTCAGGGATGAAAGTCAGTAGTATTTTAAGAAGCCCACACAAGACCAGTGCTCCGCAGGCCAGGAAGGCGTTGTGCTTATTTATACATTTATATATTGCTCCTTGCTCTGTGATCACTTACATATGTGAATGCATGTACTTCCATGAAAAGTTGCTGGAGTGGAAAGACCTCATATAGGATACTTGGTCATTCAAAGATACCCAGCTCAGTGCCTTGCCCTCTAAGAACTCTAACTAGTGAATTTAATTTTAATGCAGAAATTTTCCTATTTGGCTGAATCCAGGAATCCCCCCAGCTGCTTGGTAATATGCAGAGCCCAGGCTCCAGTCTCCCCATGTTAGTTAAGAGCCACCAGTGATTACCATGGTCAGCCAGACTGGGGAAGAAAGGTGCTCAAGGAAAGCTTCCCTGAGCAGGTGACAGTCTCTAGGCCCTGGAATCTGGGTTTGAAGCAGATGCCCTTGGCCCATTGCTCTGATCGTCCAACTTGCTGAATTTCAGTGCTCTTGGGAGCCTCCAGCAAGCCTTGTGGAAGCAAATGCTCTTTTAATTAGATGTTGAACAATCCCAGCCCAGAAACCCAGTACACTAAGGAACACTTACACACATGCTGGCTTGTCCTCCTGCACCAAAAACCTGCAGGTTCCATGGAAGCAGAACTGAGTATGGGAATCTGGACAGTCGTTAAAATGTGATACCACTGCCGCGGCCACGGGTGGTTCTGCTGGGGAGAGAAGAAACACTGGGTTCAGATATGGGCATAGCTGCCCCATGTGTCCCCATGACCCTTTCCCTACTTATTATGGATGGTAGATCCCCTGATGGCTGGACTTCCTGTCTCCACTGGGCAACCCCTCTGAAGCTCTCACTTCCTAACCAATCTCAATGCAGGACACTGCACTCCCAACATGTGCTTTCTCGCTTTTTCTTTTGAAAATAAAGCAATTCCCTCAAAAGATTTTGTGTAATCCAAAAGATACCAGAGCAATTTTATTGTTTCAATCCAAGAGCTACCTGATTTCACTTTTGCAAAGTGACAGGGATCTTTTTCTTTTTTTAAAGATAGATTTCATAAAAATCTGTTTTCAAAGCAAAACACCAGAATGGTACAAGGGAGCCTGTAGTCAGTCAGTAAATTGATGGAGAGGCAGAATAGTTAATGATGCAAAGGATGTTCACAATACACTGTAGGTGAAATTAGTGGGTTTCTAATGTGGTCTGCAGAGTACAATTCAAGTAGAAAAATGCAAATGAAATCTAGAGCTGAAGAAATCTGGGAAGGGAACACACTAAATTGGTAGCAGGGCTTCTCTTGGTAGTAGATCCAGGACTGAGGCTACAAAGTTTACTTAAGGGAAAGGAATCCATGTGAGAGCAGCACAGTCCTATTGGGGAAGCCAGAAAGGGGCAGAGTTAGGTCCTATTCAAAGATCTGGCACCACAATGCTCATAGGCTGGTGGGGGGGGGCACTGAACCTCTTAGGGGCTTCCTTTCCTGCTTTCAGACAGGAATAAAAATAACCAGCTAGTAGAGGGGCCCTGTCACATACCATCCTGCCAGGCTCATTGACCAGCACCAAAGGCATCACTTTGGCTTATCTTATTCTGTCCCACGGCCTCATTCTAAGTAACCCCCTAAGGTGCAGTTGGTAGCTCCTGTACCATGGCACAGCAGATGTGGATTCCATTGCTTCTCTGCTCAGATCTACTCATGCTTGTATTCTGGGAATATGGAGAATGAATCTTTCCTACTTAGTTTTTGGAAAAAAATATGTTCGTGGAGTTCTTGCACACTGAGAAAGGGCAGATCATTTCCTATTGTGAAGTTTTAGACCATCATTGAAGGTATAACTCATGTTGCTTTCTATTCATGAGTTCCTTCTAGGAGTATCATACTTTTAGAAATCTTGTCATTCTAGTGGAAAAAGCAGAGGCTGAAAATACAACAGAGCCCTTGATATGGAAGGCAAGACTGTGTGTAGTGGTGAAAAACACATGCTTTGGAGTCAGAGGGGCCTGGATTTGAATCCTGTCTCTGCCACCTGGATATGAAATGCTTGGCTTCTACTGGTTTCTGCATCTACAAGATAGGAGGGAGTGTCTACCTACCTCCTGGGTGGCTCTGAGGTTTAGTGGGTGTCATGCTTAAGTTCTACACTCTACAAAACAGGTAGAAACCATTCAGCTGTTGGCTCCTAGTATCCTCACTTTTAATCCTAAAATGTTAATGAATCCCCCTCCCCTATGTAAAAGCCCTATAGTGTGACACTCTTTCCCCCTCCAGGTTCAGTGAAGTGTAACTAATAGTCAAAATGTCCCCTTCACCCCTTAGTGACAGTTTCTCTTCACGTGAGAACAAGCAGAGAAGCCTGGAGCCAGCTGGCATTGTTAGCCCCAGGGTCCTGGGTGCAAGCTCTTGTGGAGCAGCAGTTTCTGAACTTCTGTGATTCAGTGCCCTTGGCTGACTACGGTCACCTCAAGGATTGGGTCAGGGGCAGATGAACAGCCCTATTCTCTCCCAGCAGTAGATGCTGGGGATGCTAAATAGAGGCAAGAAGGGTTGCTTTGGTTCGCATCATTGGCTTCTCTGTGCTCATGGAGGTTGTCAAGGGGCAAACATTGGGAGGTGAAGGAGCCAGAGACAATCAGATCTAATTTGATGTACATGTTGAAAAAATCTTTTGATAAACTCTGTGAAAGGCTATTTAATATGTTCCTGCTGGCTTGAACCACCAGTAGTGTATTCATGACTGTCCCATTGGCTGGCTATACCATTGGTGGTGCAAACAGGTCTAATCACTTTAATCAGTCTTTTTACTAATAAAATCAATTAAAAAACTGCTCTATGGGACAGTCATGTATGTACGTCACCCAGCAGCAAGACATGAATTACAGCCCCATCATGAATGTGCTGAACAACCACCAAGCATGAGGAGAACACTCGTCAAGGCTCTGAGCCCAGCTCCTCCAAGTGCAGTCTGTGGACTGACCAGTTGCTTCACATCCTAGAGCATGTTAGAAAGCCAATGTCGGGCTGGGGATTTAACTCAGTGGTTCTGCCGCCTGCCTCACAAGCACAAGGACCCGAGTTTGATTCCTGGTACCAAAAAA